TGTGCGAACGTGTGGACATGTATGAGATGATTGTTACTTATGTTAATGAAACAATTACGAGTAGCATTGCGTGATGGACAAAAAAAACTTACCGTTGTAGCTAGGCCCGCTGGATCTGTAGCTGAATCCATCGTCATCCTCCCAAGGCCGTGCGTGATCGATATTTCGCGAAGGCGCTGTACAAAATATTCTTTGAATTATCTTCTATGTAAATATTAACTGTTTATAGGCTTTTAATTTTAAATCTAATAACATCTCTTGAGATTTCATGTCAAAATGTTAAATATACACTATTAACTGTAACCTACATGCACCAACGGGGCTCTCGTAACGCAATCGATACGTTGGTTCTCTCGCGGCAGATGGTGTCCTCGAGGCATTTCTAGGATCAACATTCGCAGCTCTATGTCTCAAATTCTCACGATCCTTTTCGCGATCTTGCAGGAATACTTTAGCTATTCCCGTGTCGATCTTGCTCAATTCATCCTGCTCTTTTTTTAATTTCTGCTCCGCCTCCTTGATATACGTTTTGTTGTCGACGTCATCCTCATCATCAGATACAGGTACTCCCTAAATTAGAAACATTAATTAATTGCTGATAATCAGAATCGTCAAAGGAAATTGATAAAAAAAAGTCAGATATTGTATCTTGATAATTAAATCGTAAGATAATACCTTATATGTGTCGGACCATCGTCTACGTCTCTCGGGATCAGTGTAAGGATATGGCGGAGCGGGGAAATCGTCTCTCTCAATTGGCGGTTGAGCACCCGGGGGTGGTTTCATGGCGTCCGGATAATGCGCCAGTTCTATCGGCTCGTCATTATCCACCTGGCTTGCTGGCGATTTCGGTCTGGTGTCGCTCAAGGCGTCGACTAAAGCTCTCATTCCCGATCTGCTGCTGCGTCCACCGCTGCTTCTTATCGAACGAGATGCTGCGCAACGAAAGAAACGCGTTCTCTAATATAGACTAATGATAAACAAATTCTGATAAACAAATTCTGGAGAATATAAATAAATAGACAAATTAGACAAATAAAACAAATATAGGATTAGAACAAAAAAATAATTTTTTTTAATATTTCATTAGAAATTCAATATTATATAAATTCAATTTAAAAATTCAATTTATAAAAATGAGCCAAAATTGCTGCTCCTGATGCTCAAAATATAAATATTAAAGAGACAACTGCATTTGCAACATCTAGCCTATTATATTATAATTAAGCCTGAAACGAAACTTACAGCTAGGTCTATGGAAATGCGGGCTGGTGGGAGGTTTATCATACGGCTGTATCGGACGTCTCAAATATCCTTGACTGGGCGTTTCAGTCAAATATGAATAAGTATAAATTCTAGATACATCTTCCGCTGGTCGTCCATATTCTCTCAGGATCAGGCCGGGACTTCCAGTACGAGCGGGATAATACTGAGGCAATCAACGTATCTTATTACATATGTGATTCAGCCTATTTTTCATATATCTGATTACCATCAGTTATACAAAGTGCGTATAAGAAATTGAGTAAACACATATTTTTTTTAATTTGATTTTGCATTCAGAATTCGTTTCTTTTAAAAAATTTCATTTAAAAATTCTTATGTTTATACTCAGACTGTTGACGCATTTTGTATAGAAGAAAACAAAATGTGCAAGGCGAGCAACGCTCTGTCAAGAAACGCATCAAACTTTTATATTAATTATTTTAGTTCTTGGAATTTTTTAAATTACATTAATTTTCTTTCTTCGTTTATATTACTACTACGTTTATATTAGAACGTTTTATTACGTTTATATTACTACTACGTTTTATTAGACTAGAATAATGTCGAAAACAGACAATAGATTAATTAAGAATTAATAAATGATCGAGATATTTTCGATAGAATTTTCTTTCTCTAGTAAATTTATATGTTAGCTAAAAACAAAGTATACGAACTTTGAAACGTCTGTATATAGCTTTAATTTTCTATCTAACGGATCGATAAAATTGAAATTGGAATCTGACAGAGCGAAAGCACGTATTGCTGAGAGGAGGTAACGCGAGAAGAGACACCAGAAATACTTGTCGAAAGAGTGCTGTGCTAAGTGACACATGGCATACCTTGCGACTGAGACTGCTGTAAGGGCTGCACAGCGATCCGTTCAGGCTTGGCGTGCGTGACCGCAATGAAAACTATACATAATGACCGTGCGAAAAAAGTAAACAACGATTAAGAAAAGCGATAATAAAAACTTAATCAAAATCAAGTAATGATAATATAATCTTTGCCGTTTCGCTTGTTTCCTACGTCGAGGCGTGCGTGAAAGACGAGGGAACGGTAAAATGAGTACAAGCGAACTGATCTTCGAGGCAATAATCAAGCTATTCACAAAGCTGACAATATTAAATTTAAGATGTGTTTTATCCTATGTCGCCACTATACAGAAAACTATAACTAACACACGTAACATACAAGAACACATGTCGAATGACAAAGTGTTTCATAGGAGAGTTTGCAAGATTTTAAACATAAAGCGATCGGTTTTTAATATAGAAAATATATTGTACATTATGATAATAGAATTTACAAAGTTTTTCCAATTTCACGAAACATTCACGCGAAACACTTCGCTTTCCTCATGATCATTAATACAGTTGATAAATTCAATTATGCAAACGAATACAACTCAATATACTCAATGCAACTAAATCGACTAATGCGAATGCTAGACATAAACAGCAGCATGCGTTTCTTTACTTTCTAAGATGGATATTATTTGTAATTTTTATATACCGATATAAAAAATACACTATATTAACTATTGAATCATACGATCAGTCTCGATTCTTTCATTTGAGAGAGTTGTAGTTCGATATAAAATAAATTATTATAATTCTTTGATAAAACAATCTTTTTTTTTTGTAAGAATAGATATTAATATAATGGACAACTAAGAGCACTTGAAAAGAGCACGTGAAAGCTTTAAAAAATATTAGTTCGTTTTATACAGTGCGGATCAGGAAGAAATCAAAATTAGACACTCGCGATGTATTATTTTAGAACGCTCCGCGGAACGCAATGCTATTTCCATTCACCGTTAAAAATATTTGAGTCGCTTCGACGATATACGACGTATACGATATGTTGCACCGAAGGAGAGAATACCATCAGTGTATTAACATTATCTAAATTATCCGCTATTTACTTTCAAATGCGGTACTTAATTATTCGTATAATGTCTATTTTTAAAAAAAGTATAATTACTTAGAAACGGCCAATATTGTACACGCATATTAAGTAACCGCAAAGTACAATAATACAATCCCTGGTGTAAATTATGCCTGCATTAGTCCATAAAATCGAAAGCTTACTTTCGTTGGTACGCTACGTTAGTTCACATTAATATCTTATATGAATTATTATAATCGATATATTATAATATCAAAGTAAAATTATATCAAATACAAATGCTATGTATAGCAATCATTATTCACAATAAGCGAGTCAAGCGTAACGAAAATAACAACATGAAAGAAAATAAAAATAAAAATAATTTTTTTACATATTCAAATCAACGATTATATACAATAAAACAATTAAAAGAATTAATTAAATATTAACATTTGATTCGTCAGTTTTCAGTTTTTATATAGTTAAATTAAAGAATAATAAACAAGCACAACAGCCTAAATCAGTTATAATACACTAAATGTGTACAGAATAGTTAATCTGGACAGCTAATCATCGATCGCGTGATGCAACCGGACTTACCTGCATCTCCGAAGCGCTGCTGGAAATCCGCTCTGATTCCCGATGTTGCGGAGTGTGAGCATCTCCGTGTCCGTTCACAATACCATTGGGTCCGGTGGGTCCTGGACCGCAGCGTGGATGCCATATGGCGGCACCCTGTAGATACATTTCTTCTCCATCGCCAAACGGGTCGCCGCATTTTGTACAACGGGCACAAGTCGGATGGAAATGATGGTTATCACCGGCCTGTAAAACCTTGCCGCTAATATAACGGTTGCAATAGGCGCATTTTACTCCGAATTGCTTTTGGTAGTCCTTCTCGCAGTAAGGCACGCCGTCTCTGTTAAAGAAAAAATTCAACGGCTATGGCTTTACACGTCGTCGTTCGAATGTATCTTCTTTCTCACTGATTTAAGCAAATTTTTTTTATGAGATTAGGAAAAGCCCAAGAAACAATTTCAGGAAAATAAATGATCTTGAAAAATAATTAATAAATGTATTCTTAAAGAAAATTTTAAATAAGAAAATTATTAGAATAAGGAAAATAAGAATAAATAAGGAAATTCTCTTTAAGAAGAGATATATTTAAAATTCTTTTTAAGAATACATTTAATTATTTCCTATCCCATCATTTATTTCCTTGAAAAGTTGCTTCTTAAGTTTTTGCCAATCTCGTAAAAAAGCCATCATACTACTTTTAGAGTAATGTAATTCTATTTCGTCTATATAAATAATCAAAATGCGAGGGTCAAAGCGTGTGGATTATACAAGACTCACTTTCCCATGTATTCCCCATGAAGAACAATGTCGCAGCTGTGACACTTGAAGCACCAAACGTGCCATTGACGATCAAGCGCGACCAATGCCTGACCTTCCCTCAATTGGTTTCCACAACCGGCGCAGGCACCAGGGTCGGCGTGCCCGCCGCCTTTGGTACCGGCGCTATTGCTGATCGGCGTGGAGGCCTCGCGAACCGGGATTCCGACGCATCGATGACACAACGCTTGACCTACGAATAATACACAGTTATAGAAGATTAACGAGATCCGGCGATAGATGTCGAGGCCACTATTGACCTTTGCTCTGCGAGCCAATTGTCCCTTCTATAATGAAATTTGTCCCAATTTCATTTATTCCTATAATCTTTTCATTTAAAAAAAATTGATCCAATATTATAGTTCGTATCTATTATGTTGACATTATTAAGATTACACAATAAATTATTATTTATAGTTAATAATATTTAGATACAATCTACAAAAAACAATTCATAAAACTACTGACAAATAGAAACTACTGAAAAATGCGCAAAAGAGATCTTTATCTTTTTTTTAATTAATATGTCATAAATTAAATTACAATAGCCGGAATTCACTTTTATTTTTCTTAATGACTTTCTTGACGACGAAGAACTAGATGTGAAATTCAGCGTAATTTATTCGCAATATACAATCGGCCTTAATTTCCTAGAAGTGGGTGACGCGCATCGTTACAGTGTGCGATAAAGTGATGCACGTTATGCCGGATTTTTACCTTTGGTCGCGTAATTGTTACAAGGACGTACGTATAGTAGACGCGCGGCCTTGTAACGGTGGAGCAACGATATGTCCAAGTGGCAATTTGCTTTAACAGATTGACCGCCACGCTAATTGTGAAAATCGCGCCAAAGAGATACGTTGATTACGTAATAACTCGATACGCATCGCAATCTATAATTGACAGAAACTCTTGTTGACTCTTTGAATTAGTGATCTTTTAGCGTCATTCTCATCTCACGTCTAAGACGGTCGTATCACATTAAAAAACGGGATGAACAAAGATGAAAATCGAATATTGCTCCATATCAATTTAGACTCCTTAGACCAAACCGAGAGTATTTCGGTTTCGACACGTACCCTGAACAAGGGACACTTTTGTTCCCTGTCCCAGCAACGGTTGCCGGCATCTTTGGCAATGGAAACAATTTGGGTGAAACGCGTGCTTCTCGCCAGCTGTCACCACATCACCCTCCACGTATTCTCCGCAACCAGCACATCGCGTGCCCCAGCGCTCTCGATAATCCTGATAAATAGAATAACAAACACTTGAAATTTTCAGTTCTTGTCTCTGTTCAGCGAAAGACCGGATCTCATCGAGTTTAAAAAAATAGCTTAAAAACCGGATGATGAACGGAATGTGACTCACCTTGGTGCAGTAATAGGAACCCTCGCGTGCGAAGAAGCCACCTTGTGCCAAACTGGCGTTGCACTGGGCGCACTTGAAGCACCCTATGTGAAAGTATTTGTCTTGTACGCGCAATACCTCCCCACTGCATTTCTTCTTACAAGACTGGCAAAACGTTTTACCTAAAACAAAAAAACGTTCGCTATTTGACAAGTATTAGCTATTAATTTCTCATTTCAATTTCATAATTCAATATCCGATAATAAACAAAAAACGGACTTGCAGAATACCATCGCTGACTCACCAGCGTATCAAAATTCCTTTAAAATATAATTATCTTGTAGTGAATATTTTTATATTTAACTGGGAATCTTTTCTTCTCAATTTCTAAAATTGAGGAGTAAATATTTAATTAGAATAATTACAATTCACTTGTGATATTTTATATTCAGAGTGTGTACTCAAATTTTATAAATAAATTCCCTGAAAATTCCCGGATTTTCCAGGAATTTTAATTAAAATTCCAGGAAATTCACAAAATTTTTTAAAGCAGTTTTAAAATAAATTTATTTTATCACACGAGGTTTTTAATATTCTTTAATCATTTAATTATAAAGAAAAATTACTTGAGATTTGAATATTAAATTGAATACTAAGAAAAAATAATATGAAGAACCATATGACAATTTGTCTACAATATACGTGAATTTAACTTATCGGAGATACAGATACACGGTACTATTATTATTTTTAAACAAAATATAATTATCATAAAATACACATTTTCAGACAATGAGGAAAAATAAACAATTTTTAATTTCACTTCGACTGTCATTCAAAAAAATAATTAAATAAAACAATGGTTAACGGTAAACTTCTTTCCGCAAATGTACGAGAGGACAAGCTAAAACTAACGGGGAAAAAGACATTGTATGAGTCATGCACCTGTTCGCTCGTGCGCGCCGATCATTAGGGATTTCTGCGACTGTATGTACGAGTATGTGTGTCAACAACGGCGACTCGCGTCTTCCACTCGCGGTTGATCACCGGCGCTCCTCAAGGCGTGCGTTAACTTTCAGCAGTTATATAACACACCTGTCACCGTCTGAAAAGGCGCATTACTACTACTAACGCACGCCTTCAGGAGGAAGATCGAGCCGTCTAATTGCGCTCTTGAAATGATTTGGATTAGGTCCAAGAATAATCCGATTCGCAAACGATCGAATCGATGTCTGGATCTGATTATGGGATAACTTCGATCGCAGAGTTAAATGGTAGCTTAAAGACAATTCTTTACAACTTTTAATCTCTCTTCCATAATTTATATACATTAAATAAAAATTATTTAATATTTAATATTGAATAAATATTAAATATTTAATATCTATAAATATATATTTATTATTTTTCGTGTATGTAAATATATATAATGTTCCGCGAGACTTCTGCCACCGCTCGTGAAAAAATAGATGGGACCGAGATGAACATAAAAGTCCCATATCATTTTGTGATATTCGCAATAATCGAAATATTAATTATTAAAAATCACCGGCAAAGGGGCGCGGTACTCGTCGCCCGGTCGATCATTGTTGATAGGCGCGT